CCATAGACTTTGTATGTAAACCTGCTGCTCCTGACGCTGAAATCGCGTTCGGTGTGAACGTACCATTAGTGTTGATATGTTAGTGTTTGGTTTTTCCAAATGTACTATCATGAACTTTACCATTTATTTTGAGGAGGCCTGCAGAGACTGAAATGCAGATTTTGAGGTTTTTGCAACTTTTCTGAGTGTTGCACAGTCTGACCTTGGGTGAATTAGTTGGGACTAGGGCTGAAACGATGCCCCGAAAAATTTGAGTTATTCGATTACCAAAAATCCTCGAGGCAAATTATCTGCCTTGAAGCTTTGTAAAAATTAGGTACTGTTAAAATCAGCGCGCTTTTGCCGGCCGGAATGTTTTTTGAGTTACACAACGCTACGACATTAGCGCTTCCGCTAGCAGTTACACTGTTGACGTGTGTATACTAAGTGCTATTTTTAGCAATGGAAGAAAATGAATTAAATACAGCTGGTATTGTAAGTTTATTTTGATTGCAGCAGGATCGTCAGCAAGTGTAGATTAACCTTTCTCAATTGTATTTGTCATAAAATAAGCTTAAGTAATTACTGCAGAAGATGAGATATTTTTAAATCCAATTACTCAATTAATCGACAGAATAATCAATAGATTAATTGATAACTAAAATAATCGTTAGCTGCAGCTCTAGTTGGACGTCTACTTCTGGGAGCTATCATAAATTRTAACTGTCCACTTGTAAATTATCTTTCTATATGTAAAATGATGGACTCAATATTGTTTAGAAATGATCATTTATTCAGGTTCTGTCACAAAACTATTAAATTCAGTTTTGTTTTTTTTTTTACCTGGACAACTGCCTTGCTGCCAATTACTTCCAGGACCTGTCCACTTCTCTTGGTGCCATCTGGCAAGGTCAGATGAACAATCTCTGCATATCTAGGGAACTGATTCAAACAAGTTTGACACCTTTAAATAAAAAGTACTCAAAAAGAAAACAAATCATTACTAGCACAAGAAAAAACACAATGAAGCACTGAAAACATTATTGGATAAATTTCTAAACTTCAGTAGAAGCACTGAAAAGTCATTTCTGCTTATAAAATCCAACAGAAAGATGGCCCATCTTCAGGGTCTTACCTTAACATTATCCAGGATCACCAGAGGTCCATTTACACCTGACACAGTGGAGTACGCTAAAACAAAGAAGTTATCTGTTAATTCACATGTTCAGAGTTACTAAAACAGCACTGACAAAAAGATTTTTATGTGCATCTGATATTTAGTCAACTTTATAAAATACAGATTTTTCTAAATCCAAGACTACAGATAACCATGATTTCACCTGAGTGAGATCTAAAAAGCATTCRCACACAAGAAAAAAAATAAAAAATAWAAATAAAAAACACACTATACTATACTACCATGCAGTCAGATCTGAACAAAAATAATGATCTGCAGACAAGGTGGTAAAACACTAACTGAAATATAAACCTATTAACTTGATCTACAAGAAAACAAGAGGGGGAAAATGTGCAGATGAAATGGGTCTCTTCCTTTACTTCTCCAACCACCGAGATAAACTGTTGATTCTTCACTTGTAAAGAACATTTCTGGTCAGATGTACAGCAAATCAACTATTATGCTGCCAAACTCTTTTAAAATGACAAATATATAAAAAAGGCTCATTCCCAGTAATCAGCTTGTTTTCAACCAAAAGGGGTGGGAACCTTGAACAAGGACTAATGATCCAAATGTGTTGTTCCACTCTATTTTGGTCCCAATAGGCTCTTTTGAATGACGACTTGTTCACAACTAATACAAAGACTGTATTAAAAAGATTAATTTAATAAAAATCACCACATCTGCCTCTTGTTGCATGACCCAGCTTTGGAGCAAACAGAAAACAATGGATGGATGAAAAGCACCACATCGTTCATACAGAAGTGACTTGTTTGATGATGAGTTAGATATACAGTATGTGACTTGGTTGAAGCTCTCTTGGAAAACAAAATAAAAAGCCTAAATAAAAAATGAACAGGGTGGCATGCCAGAGCAGTGGTTATAGTTGCTCTCAGTGAGAAGGTTGCAGGATCACTTCCAGACCTGGGGCCTTTTCTGGGTGCAGTTTAAATGTTCCCCAAGTGCACAGGTGAGTTTTTGTCTGGTACTACTGCTTCCTCCCACAAAAACATGTATGTTGGGGTAATTGGTAACTCTAAATTKTTGCAATGTGTGAGTGAGAATAGTTGTTTGTCTCTAGGGAAAATGTGCAAAAATACCCTTTTGCAAACAGAACTCACCAAAATATGCCGTGATTTTCAAAAACTAGAAGATCAAAACACAGTCTTACTGCTGGTCATTTGGTTGGAAACAGAAAACCAGCCAATTTTCTTCTAAATTTGGAGCCCAGCGAGATACAAACAAAAAGACAATAAAAATTGATTTTCTTTGTATTTGTGTTAATTACATTAGAAAGCAAATGCACAATTACAAATGAAAGTCTTTTTTTGTTTGTTTAAGACGAAAGTGCCAACTAAGTTTTTGCAAGCATGCGTATGAAAGGAGGGTGGGTGGGTGTTGTAATTTGTAAATGATTATTGGATAGCTTAAATAGTGATATTGGCATTTGCCTCAAATGTTTTGGAATTTTCAGTTTAAATACAGGGCTAGACCTGGTGCTTGCCCAATACAGTTGTGTTTGAAAAGAAAAAGGGGAAAGAAAAGAATAGTTCAAGGTACCCTCTTATGTGAAATCTAATGATTAAGTACATGGTTTGCTCTCTAATTTCTCAAGGTAACAAGTACTCAATGGGCTATATGTTCATGAGGTGTTAAGGAGCAACATTTCCCATTAGGTTTGGAAAACTTTCTCCACCCCTCTTTGGCTACTTCAGCTCAAGTGCAGCGGTCCCCTGGCTTGGCATGCAACAGGAGTATGGGTCACCCTACAGCCTGTTCAGCTGCCAGAGCCCTTTGTGTACAAAGATGTTAATTGGTCCTAATCTGCCACTAGAAGCTGTTTTGGTAGCCTGACCTCGCACCCAGAAGGACACCTTGGTGTGAAATACTAAAGAGCCCATTCAAGTGCCAAAGAAAAGAGGCACAGAGCATTCCAGCACAATTCAATTTCCCAGTTAAAAGAAGGGGGGACTAAAAAGGGAGGAGAAGGAAAGAGGAGGGGGTGGAGTAGGTGCTGGGGTAGAGATGGGAGCGCATCATCATTCTGACAATCAATGAACAGTACAAAGCAGTGGCTGCTGTGATGTGCGGCCTCACAATCACGTCTTAGCCTCTACTTCAAGGGATTCCCACAGTCCTAATGGACACAAGAACACTATGTCGAAAACCTGCCGCTCCTCATCCTCAGCACGTGTCAACGTGCACACAACCAAACACAGACAAAATACAAATGCTCATTCAAAAACGTGTATACCAATATCACAGTAACATTTTCTACAAATTTGCCCCAGCACTCTACAGTTTTACATTTATAATTTTATTTTTACAAAAGCCAAGAGAAGACATGCAACTTTGCAATATCTAAAAAATAATTAATCTGACATTAAAATCAAAAATGAGAACTTTACAAGTATCCAGGACAGTCGTGCAGGCAACAGATTCAAGCTGAAAACATCCAGCAACAATGACCAAACATTACTGCTATAGATCATCTCCAAGTATCATGGTAGTGACAATAGAGTAAACTAGCTGTAACAAAGGGTTTGGCAATGTTATTGTTATACAGTGTAATGCATCTGCTGTGCAAAACTCATGAATATAGATAAACAGGTTCTTGGTTTGCCAATACATCACCTTTCCAACTAGTCGCATCAAATTCTAGTCAGTGGTTTTGATGTAATATTGGGGAGTGACAAATCACAACAGCAAACCTTCGCAATGCTTTGTTTTGGCAATCGAAATTGAATAACCTTCAAAAGTGACTCCAAAACCAACAAATATTTGTTTGAGCATTTGTGACAGGGCATTCCGTTCTATTTTTTCAGCTATTTTATTTGTGCAATGAAAAACAAAAATAACAGCAGCAAGGTTTGGGGACCCAAGAGCACCACAACACTTCATTTCAGTCGGTTTCAGAGTGTTTTGTGCTTACAACAAAAATGTGAAATGTCAAAACTTTTAAAACTAACGGAAGCATTTTTAAAAACCACAGGGAGGTAAAGCAGTCATGGCAGACCCATTCTGACTAGCTGACTGTCCTGTTACCAATTTTCATGCAGCTACAAAACTGGGCTTTTAAACTTTCTGGTACACATAAACTCATAACAAAAATAAATAGAAAATCACAATCCTTAAATTTAGGCAGCTGGTTAATAACAACTTTATTACCAATACAGTAAAGTGCTTTGATGGCAGTATTGGGCTTTGACAGAACCATTTACTCCCACTGGTTGTGTTTGCGTCAAATATTAGCACCTTCAATTTATCAAGTTTCAAAAAACAATGTGAGAAAAATTATAATCATACTCATAATTGAGCAAACTTATATGAATGATTTCATTTTAACATTAATGACTCAAACCAAACTGAATAAAGAATACCACAGAACAAAAGACGATACTTAGTTTGGTACACCTGATGAGCTCTGGAAACACAAGTCTAGATTTAGAGATGTAAAGCTTGGAGGCCTGCATGTGAGAAGTTTCAGGGGATCAGCCTGAAAAATCTAAATACCTCGAAAACCCAAAGAACCAACATATCAGACCTGTGTTCAAATGTTGGTAATTTGATTTAAAGCCATGTACATGTGTATTTAAGCACCATCACCAGTATGTCTAAGCAATTTTATGCCTTGGTTTGCCTACAGTCACAGTTTGAACTCCTAATGTTAATAAAGGAGTGTAAAACTAACGTAATCATTGGATTTCCACCAGGGTAAAGAATAAAATATCAATCTCTAAAAAAATACAGTGAGCGATATGCCGRGGTTATCACATCTAAATCAATATGACAAAAAAAAAAGAGTCAAATGTTAAAATAAAATATTGTTTTGCTGTGGAGAATAAGTAATGAATGGGCAAAACTGTTTTTTTTTTTTTGTCCCTCTTGTGATACTGTTATTAGGAAAAACTGCTTATGGACAATACTCTCGTCTTTGGTAGCTGACAAAACCCACTTATTAATTTTAAATGTCAGTATAGTAGAAATAACAGCTCAGGTACTAGCAACCTTTAAACTTGCTTTGTCAAACAATCCAGATCATAACACAATGAGGAAAACCATTAAAATACAAATTTATTTTGATCTGAACAATAGTGATGACTAAAACACATAAAGCCTTTGAAATAATTTATCATTTCCACAATATTGTCAGATGCATAGTTTGTAATGTATTAACAACAAACGAAAAATCTAAGAAACCCTTTTTATGTTTACTTTTGCCACTTTTTGTCTGTCTACAAAAAGAGAGACTTATTGCTGATCCTGAAGAAATACGGAAACAAAGGCTGAAAGCTTTAATAATGAGCTTTAGGTTTAGGATTAAGTAAAACATTTGAAAGAGGAATTGCCCATGTTACACAATATACCAGTACTTCTCTAAAATGACCCAACAGTTGTTAAAGATGAAGGATGTCAGGAAGTGAATTATAAGCGGTCAGGAAAACAAGTTATGCCTTTCACAAAGGATTGGTTTCTCGTCATGCTACAGACAGAAATGGTGTCAAACCCCTAGTCTACATTTTAATGTTCTTTCATGAAAAGAATGGCAAACGCCCACGGGAGTCTTTTTCTCTGCTGACAAGCTAGCTGCTTAAGCCTAATTAGAATGTGGATTATAGAAGTGTTTCAAAAATAACATTGATTTTATAGAAATTGCTTTCATAGTGACAGATGAGACATTTGTTTATCGTGACTACATTATTACCAATAATTAAATCTTCACAAAGAAGTATAGTGCCTTGCTCCTTGTCTTTTCATAGCACTAAATGACAGAATGCACCACTAAAACAAAGACGAGCCATTTCGTGGGCTAATGGCTTTTGTCGGATTTGACATGAGAGAGACAAAGGCCTCTTAAAAGAAAAGACTAGGTCTGATGAGAAATCTCTTTATTTGTTTATTTTTCTGCTCCGTCTCAGCATGGCTTTTCAGTAGTTGCTACTCTTAGACCTCATCAAATTGATAGAGAAGTGAAGAGGCACCTCAATGCCGTGATCTCATAGACTGATCTTTAGAAACTGGCTGTACAAAAACAATCTGTGCAATTTCCATTTTTGTGCATTAGCATTATGATTCTATCCAATCTAAAAGGGATAAGAAGCTGTCAGATCTTTATTCTGAGGAAAACACAGAAAACAAAACAGACAAATTGTTATAGTTATTGTACGGCAACCAAAAATTCACACTCATACTTTGTATACCTCACAGTGTGTCCATGCTGAAATGGTACAGAATACAACCCTACTTTATAATTTAAGCAGGTTTTGTGTGCCACACATGATGTGCATTGGGGTTGAGGTGCGATGATGACTTGTTGCATACCCTCTGATAAAATCCTGCAAGTGCCCCTGTGCCAAGGTGATACAGTCCAGCACATCACATCATACATCACACAGTAGTGTGGTGCACCAAAAAAAATGGTTAACATCAGAATCGTGATTCTCATTTACAACGATTCATAATCGATTTAAGATAAGATAAGATAAGATATTATTGTCATTGTACAGAGCACAATGAAATTACAGTTCAGAATTTAAATGCGTCTTAAGTTTAAAATGTCCCAAAATTGATTTTGAATTATAAAAAATATATATAAGGGAAATCCAATGGATGTCAGCCTTTGTTTTGTAACTACGTTGGACACCCTGGCATCACCACGCAGCTGCTTCTGGAGGGTTTGCATGCGCAGAAAGCACCAAATCAAAGAGGAAACTGCGAAAACGAAGGAAACAGAGATTCAAGCGGCCTTGTCTTCATTGAAGGCAAAGATCTAGGCTCCTTTTGGGTTTTACCAAATGAGTCCGAGTTTGACATGAGCTTCACTTGGAGCAAGGTTTGCAAAATTAAGATGAAGCACAACAAATGGGCTCATATATTATCAATTTTAAATTAAAAATCAATTTTGAATTCAATTGTGGCCCCAAAAATCAGAATAGAATCATGAAATAGTGAAAGATGCACCCGTACCACACAGTGCGGCAAAAGTTACTATCAAGATTTTATTGGGCGTGGACCAATTGCAGTTTTCTGGTCAATCACCGATAATTAAAAAGTCTGACCTGCCAATTCCAATTTTTTTCAAATAGCTGACACTGTCAGGTGTTACAATGTCACAATACACCTTCAATGTTCCAATCTCATTTTACTGAAATACACTGAAAAACACCCTTGAAACAATAAAAACTTATTTTAACTGGACATTAGGTAGTGCTCACAGTGGAGCAAAAGAAGGCAGTGGCTGATTTTCAGAACATTGTGGAGGCAGATGAGAAGACAGTCTTTTCCACTGATCTATCCAAGTATCAGCTGATCTCCCAAAATTAAGGAAATCATCAATAAATCAGACGGACAATTTATTGGTGCACCTCTGGGTTTTGTACCATCAAACTTGCACAGGGTGACATGTACAAAACTATTCCATTTTTCACGACTTGACCTTCAGACTGTCTAAGAGTGTATTCCCACCAGGAAATTCATTTTTGGGGGGTATTCTGTCCATTTAAACACTGTACCAGCATGTTCACTCATGATGGTTTATGGTGGTGGAATTACTGAGATCCAAACTGACAAAACTGAAAATAAAATTTATTACCACAGCTATTACATCTTATTACATATTACAAGTCAACATATTGGATTTTGAGGTTAGAATTGATTAGAAATCTATGTTATTCTTACTTGGAACTCAAACATTTCAACTTGAGTACAAACATGGAACTTAACATTACTCTCCGTGAAATTTTCTTTCTGATTCTCAAAACTAAGAATCCTCTGAGTGTTGTCTACTGCAGGTGAGATAGTGACTTCTAAGGGTACACATAAGCTCACAAATGGTAAGAGAAGCCTGGCAGGGTCAATTTTATCTACCAAACTAAAATGTGTAATTAGAAGCCATGGCACATATGGGACAAGTAATGTCTCAAACTACACTGTTAATCAACTCAAGATCACTTTGGATATATTACTAGTCAGAACACATTTCTCTTAGCTTCTGACTATCCATACAGTTTTGTGTGTGTGTGTGTGTGTGTGTGTGTGTGTGTGTGTGTGTGTGTGTGTGTGTGT